AATGAATACGCGAGAAAAAGTGTTGGAAAAGTGATCTTCGAGCCTTTGTTTCTTCTCCTTTCTTTCGCCGATCGAGAAGATGATTCCAGAGTGTCTAGCCGTGAGTCGTTCTCCCCTTTTACACGTAGGCCAGCAAACGGATGAAAGTGAATTATTGAAATCGCCCACCGTAACGGCGCCCACGTCCCTCTGAAACACCTGTTTACCTACGAATAACACCGCGAGAGGAATCGTTCCACTTCCTCTGTCCCCGTTTCCCCTCGGCTAACAAACATTTTCAATCAGCGGGTCGGTTTAAAGGACCGTTCACGCGGTTCCGTTTCGTTTGTTTCCCTCGTGGAAACAGTGAATTCGAATCGAGAATCTTCACGAGATAGAGTGATTCCCGACAAACGAATACGTTTATGGCGAGTTGGAATGAAGAAAGAAGAAAGAAAAAAAGGAAATTTCGGTTGAGTTTTGGTTGTACGTGTCAGTTGGAGTACAATGAAGACCGTTCTTCGAGGCACCGACACAGAGAAGAGGCTCGAGAATGGTAAATGGCACGACCGGGTCGACCATTTGAATCCCGAATACGTGTAAAAGAAGACGGTCGAGTATTTAGTGAAAGGCAGAACGCGCGTCTTCCGTGGCCGAGATTCGATTCGATCGACGAACCTAAGTCACGATGTCGCGAGCAACCACTTGCAGTCGATCCTCTTCGCGCCTTGTCATTTGCACCGAATTATTCCGGTAATTTGGATTATTTCGAATACTCCAAGTGTTTGGATTTCGGATCCTGTCGAATATTTTGACTATTCGAATGATTCGGATATTTTCGAATATTCCAAGCGTTTGAATTCCGGATTCTATCGAATACGTTGCACATTCGGATGATTTCGAATATTCGAAGCGTTGAATCTCAGATTGAGTGGAATATTTCGAATGCACTAAATATTCATATCTTCGTACCAACCCTCTTTAGATCTCTTAAATTCAATATCTCCGATGTGCCTCGACCATCACTTCCGTTTCAAAGAAAATCAGAACGAGGGTTAATGAAAAATGATTGAAAATGGGAATTTCAACTTTCCTCGTGGTTCGTTATTCGACAAAGACCCACAGATCCTATGTTTTTCTTCATCGAGGACAGCTTACGAGGATTAATTCCCCGCATTAGACCTGAAACTTCTCACAGGAGGATCCTCCTATGAAAGGATTCGCGGACATTCGAAGAAACTCGACGAATAGAGGGACCAAACACATTATCTCCGTGTATACATCTTAATCCCCGGTCGCGGCGGGTTTTCGTCAATAGCACTTGTGAACCGTGCTTAATTCGAACGTGCTGTGACCTAAATTTCAATAGCGTGCACGCTCGACGTAACAGGAATTACGATCCACGAAACACACTCGATTCTCGAGAACTCCAAAATTCACCTCCGGTTGTAAAGCAAGAAATAAAGAAGCAGAATGAGGAGAAATGAAATTCAGGGGACAAAAGAAGAAATCAGAGATACGTTCCGGAATGTCTTCATCTTTAAAGAGAATGGCGAACAGCATCGTGAACGTTATCGCACGGAGGCCACGTCATTGAGTTGCAAATTTATTTCGTGCGACGACAATTTATTTAAGGCGAGAGTGGCGAGAAAAAAAAGAAACAAAGAAAGAATCGAGCGAACCGACACCTCGAGACAGAGAGAGAGAAAGAGATCCTGTTCTCTCGTGGCTCCAAGTGTGAAACGTGTGTCACCATTTGCGGGCACACGAGAGTGCACGGGGTTCTTTAAGGGGTCCCATTGGCTATTTACAGGAACGCCATGCCCCTCTTGCAACGCCACAAAAACCTTCCTTTATACCCTGGACTCGCGTTTCGCGAAAAATCCTGTGCAACAAGGGGGAGAGACACGACACACTCGAGTGCGAGGAAAGTGTCTCGAGAAATGAAACTCTCTCTCCCCTTCGAGATTCGTTCGAGGCTAGTGGACTCGAAAATTTCCACTGAATTTGGAGAATCCGCGAAACGACCAGAAGAATAGAGAAGCTTTCCCTTCGATTAACTGTTTCTGCACGATTAAGTGGCGAATTCACGTCGAGTGTGGGATCTATTTGGGGGGAAATTTGAAAGCTCACGTCGAAAACCACCGTGGAATTTTTTGCCTGGTGAAAAGTGCATCGAAATTTCTGAACGAAACGTGGAAAGATCTGTGTGACTGTCACAGTTTGGCAGTCAAAGTTTTTTTCACACTAAAGTGAAGAAAATGTTGGATAATTTCTTGTTCCTTCTAGAGACGTGGTTCGTTCGGTACGATGAACGGAAAATCGGGGAAATATCGGACAAGTTCAACGAGGTTTCCGTTAGAAGAGAAAGGGTCGGCGATAATTGGCCGCGCAGGGGGAGGAAAGCCAGATAGAAATTCATCGTGGCGGCGTCAGAACCAGTACAGGTACGTTAATAGACTCACCTGCTTTCCTTTTACTGTTTCTTGACCTGCCGTAAACGATGGAATTTAGGTACTCCACTTGTCAGCCACAATTAACCATCCAACGCAACCAACTTTCGCGCGATCATGCTTAACTGCTCCCTCTACGTCAACCTTGAACCTAACCAATTGAACACAGTACTCGACATCTTCAATACTCTCCCGAGAATCTGAAAACCTCTATCTAATTTACGGTAATAGAGTCACGCAATTGACATTTCGAATTGACTGTCCCAGATTAGATAAAACGTCTGCAAACATCGTCGTTTGTCATCGCTAAGCAAACACGTCCTTCTAATCCCGGTGCTGAAAGAGCCAAGCTATCTCGCGTCTCGCGAAAAGTCATCGGTAAATACAATTAGCCAGGATTTCGATTCTCGGAAAATTCGAAAAATTCGTTGGAAGATCTGACGAATACTCGATCCTCAAAATGTCGTTACACGTGAATCTCGGTTTGGAAGAAACCTCAATTTTCACGACTAATTACCCCGCACGTTAATTACAATTCGAAACTAGCGCCAATTTCGATGTTTAAATGTCTGGAAAGATTGGTGGAAACAGCGCGATAACGATCGAGCGCCTACAATTTAATCGATCAACGTCGATAATTAAGTCGTGAAAGAGAGCACAGTCGAGGCGCGGACTTTCGCGGTGAAATTTCCCCGGGTGTCGTCAACCCTGACATTAAATCGTGGACGGTGTCAGGGCTACGATCCCTCGGTATGGCGTGGAAAAAGGAACGACAGGCGTCTCTCGTAGCTGGAAGCCGCCGCTAGACAGGCCCGTTTTCATGTTCCCCAGAGTGGATAACCGCGTAAAAGTATCCCGTTACCACGGTAGCCCAGATACCGGCCTACGGAGCACGAATTGTCAATCGAATCGTGAGAGGTTGCGAGTTTCCGTCGCGGAAAAAGCAGACCGCAAGAATTTCGTGATACGCTTTTTTATTCCATGCCACCACGCGAATTATGGTGGGGATTAGGTGAACGCTCCTTCGTCGCACCATTTTTCTGTGTCATTTCGTGGAAATCTCTGCATATCAATTAGCTAGCTTCTCCGAGAATATCAGACTAATTAACGCACTATCTATTCTCTTTAATTAAAAGAAGAAAGGAGATCGAAGAGAGGATTTTTCTGCATTATTTAGTGGAGCTCTGTCAACTTTTAAAAAATTGAACCCTGAAGAGGCTAACAAGCTCTTTCGTAGGAAGATCTATGCAGCGAGTTTGAAGGAACGGGCAAGAACGTTCACTTTCGTTCGAAATAGCGCCTCGAGTTACGACCTGATAAGATGAATGTTGTAACAACACAGTCCAATGAATCATAACATCGATAATGTAGCCGAGGAGGCCGGTGAATGGTAAGGTTTACGTTTTCGCGCGGAGACGTCCTCGCGGCTCGAACTGCCGCGTCCTGGTAAACACCCTCTTGGCGAATTTCTTCGAAACCAACACACTCGACCTATCTTCCTATCTTCTCCGAATTCGTCAAATTCCACGCTGTCCTCGGCGTAAATACAAACGGAACCCTAGCATTCTTGATTCGAAAAATCATTTATCTAGCGCGCTTCCTTAACCCTTTATCTCACGGCTTTCTCATGGCTACGTACGTTTGCCTCAGCTGTTTACATCTCCGATACCGCGTTAAATAAACAGACGTTAGAGTTCAAGTTTATTACAAATGTAACGTCTGCTTTGTCGCATGTGCCGTTTAACCGCGCGGCAACTGCCAACTTTATTCGACGGTTCGAATTTTCGTTGCTCCAGAAAAATGTGGTTGAATACCACGGAAACGTAAGTCACACATCGAACACTTTCGTTATCACCGTCGCACAATCTTGACCGTGATCTGCACCACGATCGTGAGTGGTCGTTGCATGGCAAGGGGTTAGTTAGATAAGACGAAGAAGAAGAGAAAAATGGGAGCCTCACCTCTTATCTTCGTCTCTTGAGGATCCAAAGGAGGGAAACGTGGGTGGGTCTGCTGTCC